TAAATCATAAGCAAATTTATAGCAATTTTCCAGGCAAATTTGCCTGGAATTGCTTACAGTTTAAGGGATAATAAAATATAAAATTAAAATTTACTATATTGATTTTGTTTATAGCTTTATACAATAATAGAAGTACAATTAATTTAATTATCCTCATCAATTTGTTTACTCATAAATAATTTTTTCAATAATATTAAGTCAATTTTATTTAAATTAACTTCAATAAAATAACACCATTTATTATTTTGTCAATATTCAGTATATCTAATAAAATATGATATTATATTTGCTGAATAGTTTACAATTTTACCAAGTTTAGCAATTCTGAAACAAGGAACTCTATTACATTGAAATTTACTTTAAAATTCTATTGCTGCTAAGTATATTTTAAAAATAAATTAATATAAATTATAAAAATAAAATAATTTACATTATAATAAATTAAAATACAATAAAAATAAACCAAAATTTATGTATATGTCTTGACTTTTATTATTTATTTCTTGGTCAGTAATTATTTGCTAATGAAGATTCAAATCAACATCAACATTATTATTAATATAGTTAGAATCACTATATTTATATTACTTAATTCCTTGACATCTTTGCTCATTCTTTTTAACTAAAATATTTCCAAAAAATAGGCAGTCTTGGATAGTAGAAGCACCACTATGGCTATTAATTAAATATTAAATCTTAAAAATTTTTTTAATAAAATAAATTATTATTATTTATTTTTTTTAAGCAATCTTGTCTTTATTTATTGGAACTGCTCATTAATAAAAGTATAGAGCACTTGTATTTTTAAAGCATAATGTTCTAATCTAATAAAAACTTACCAAGCAAAATGCCCAATGCGACCTGCTATAACAACTATTAGTCTTATTCAGGATTCAACACTTTGCATCGAATTTTGTATTGACTAAGAGTACTCTCTTGATCATAGACAGGTTGTTGTCTACCTTGTCAAGATCACTCATCTTTCTTTAAAACTTTTTCTACCTAGATTTTGGCAAAATAATTAAATCTCTTACGTTTGTATAAGGGAAAAAAATAATGCTAAAATTTATGAAAGACCAGAAATTTAAAGCATATACAAACAAGTATTGAACAAAAACTCTAAACTCTATCTATACATAAAGAGAAAAAGATGAAAAAAGCAAAAAAAAGATAGACGAATCTAATATATAAGAAAAGGAGGTACACTATTATAACCCATGCCAGGTTGATAAAAATTATATACAAAAGCAATATCTGTATATCTCTACTGTAAGACTATGCCTTATCATTATTTTTCTTTTTGACCCAATACCAGATTTTTCTATAAACCTAATTTGTATCTCAAGCAGGTGCTACTACCGTCCGTAGACCTGTATCTCAAGCAACTTGCTGCCGTAATTAGGGATTTCTTTTTTGACTGGGACTTGTTCCAGCACTTGAACATCATATCCATTTTCAGACACATGTTGCTATCTACTGGTCTATCAGAATTTGGAGGTAAACAGAAAAAATTTTGGAAGACTAATGAGAAGGTGGGTAGGAGTAAAGAAGGAATTACTTGACCAAGTAAAGAAGTGCAGCTTAAAGAAAAATTCACATTTGTTGTTTCCCCTGTGTTCTCTTTTAGGAAAAAATAGCCTAGATAACTTTGTCAACAAAGAAGACTCTAGTCCCTTCAGTTATCTTGTCTACTAATGCTCTTGGCTTGTATATTGAACACACAACTTATAAAAGAGTTCCAGAACAGAAAACTGTTGACCTCTAAGCAAACTGTTACATTAGACTATGACAACTCTCTAACAAAAGTTCGTTTTCTTTTAGTAAGAAATTTTGGTCCAAATGATTATTGAGAAGAGTTGACTAAAAACTTGAATAAAATAAATTATAAGTACTATAATATTTTTAAAATTAAATATGAATTAATTTTTAAAAATTTACATTACTAAATACATCTTTAAATTATCCCAACCACTAATATTATATAGGCGCTATTCAGTAAAAAAAAGAGAAATCTCCATTTAGATTTGATTAAAAATATTAAGAAAATCACGTTTTTGTAGATTACAACAATTACTTGATAACAAATAATATAGATCAGTTTTTTAAAATATTATTTATATAAGCCATGTGATGTGTACAATTGTGTAATATACATGATTTTTACTTTTTTACTATGTAAAAAATAGTGTCATATCGGGTCCGTATACAATACTAGATAATAAAGATCATATGTAAAACTCAAAAAATTATTAAGCCAGTATAATTTAACTTTTAATTAGAATTATAAAAATTTTTAGTCAAAAAGTAGATCTCCTCTCTTTCTACTGAACAGCACCCATATATAGTTGCAACTCTATTTTTAGATATTGCTGGATATTCCACAGATAATGCAGTATAAATAATTTGATTTACATGCAGTTTTTTTGTAAAAAATGCAATTTCTTGTAAATCTTGATTTTCGCTCACATTACTTATATCACTCTAAAAAACATATAGTAAGTATTAATAATAAAATACTTTAGGCTATATATATAAAACCTTATCCCTTAAGCTGTAGAGTTCGTGTAACAATTTTAGCTTAAAAATAGCATAAATTTAGTTATGATTTATTTTTT